GAAAATCAGCGACCATAAGTGATCCTAGGTTGGTAACACTTGGTAACGTACTCGCTCTGTGACGGTGACCGTCTTTTCCAGCTGCACATCCTTGTAACTGGTGACCGTTTGGTCTCCCAGACCGCGAAGGTCTGGCGAGTGGTCTGCGTGACAAAGTGAGGCGCCAGCTCGGTCTCGGTGACCAGTGCCAGCTGAGTGTCCGTGACGGAGAGAGTGGAGAAGGCCGTCTCCAGGCTGAGCCGCGTCAGCGTCAGCGTCTTGGTGTCCAGCTGTATCGCCGTCTGCGTGAGGGTCCTGTCCTCCACGGCAACTTCGCTGGCCAGGAGCTGCTGCACGGTCTCGGTGAGCACGGTGGTGGTTCGGGCGACGGCCAGCTTGGTGTGGAAGGCCGTTGAGGTGAGCAAGCTGACTTGAGTGAGTATGGAAGGGTCGGGCGTGAGCGTGAGCTGCAAGGTCTGCGTGTAAGTGGGCCTTTCCACCACGAAGCTGGTGACCTTTACGTCTTGGTGTTCATGCTGCAGGTCCAGCGTGGTTGCCTGTTCAAGAAGGGGTTCCACGGTGGTTCTGGTAAGAGTGATTTGCTCGGTTCGAGGCTGACACGAAGTGGCAGATGGAGGGTAGAGGCCGCCTCCGAAGGCGGAGCTGAGCAGAGACAGCGTCAGGAGGAAGGTATACATGTCCATTGCCTTGTCAGGGTGAAAGGAGACTGACAGCATTCGTGTCAAAGAGTGAGCCTTTTATGCAGGACAAGCAAAGTAGTAGTTAAGAATATTGGAAACTGGGGGAGGTGGGAGAGAGGGAGACAAGTGGAGGATGGCACGCGCTCATTTCATTGTTATTTATTTATTATATAATAAGGATATTGCTTATGTGAGTATGCAATTTTGATGAAAAACATCTTTCATAAGAACCATATTAAACAAACAGGCTCTATATAGACGAGGAAGATCTCTTCAATTTTAGGGAAATTAAGATATTTCATATAAACTTTGAGAACAAATAAATATGATTTCTATTCTGTTTCTTGTAAGCCTTGTTTTATTATCCTACAATGCATTATGGTCACGCCGATTTTACAGAAAAGTTAAACCTATGATTTCAAGAGGAAGGAAAATACATTTTTTTTTTTTTTTTTTTACTTTAGCCAAGTTTTTACAATTACTGTATTTAAAAAAAAACCTGATCCGGTTTTAAGGCTTAGTTCTTGTTGTTGTTTTTCTTTTATTAGTAAATTTGTCAGAAATAGGACTTGGTGACGTGTTGAAAGAATTCAATGCATATTAAGATGCCAGAAATATTCATGTAGCTAGTGCATGTCCTCCTCCCAACCTTTTTCACAATTTTGCTACTAGATTTGTATCTTTGGTAGCTTCACGATTGAATCTTCAGGACTATGATATTAAAAATAAGATATTCATGATATACTAAATCAATGGGATAATCTGGAGTATATTATTATATATGTGTGTGTGTCTGTTTGTATACACACACATGCATATATACACACGCACGCACATATGCATACCCTATACATATGTACGTCATACATACACACATGTATGTATATGTATATAGGTATATTCGCACACACACGCATATATTTATATATTTATGTATGTATGTAGAGACTGATATGCATATGTATATGTAAACATATATTCATATATATTGTATGTGTAAATGTGTATTTTTGTGTGTCCAAATATATGCATACGTATATCCATATATACATAAATGCATATGTGTGTCTATATGTGTGAGTGTGTATATGTATATGCAAATATGTATATATACACACATATATAACCATATATATGTATATATACGCATATGGATGTATACATTCACACATACACAATTATATATATTTTATACATGTGTGTAGATATAGCTATAGATATATAAGGAGAGAAAGAGAGAGAGAGATGTGGAGAGAGAAATAGGCAAGTAGGAAGATAGAGAGATATATTAACGTGTATCTGTATTGATTATATCCTCATCCACACACATATATTTGTGAGCGAATACACATACGTGTGTCTGTGAGCCAAAAGTATTTTTCAATGAAAACTCTTTATATAAAATATAAAACTCCTTAAACTTAAATCTTTTGGAAGGCTGGAAAAGTCTACCGGAATCAAACGCATTTGGACGACTCCTGATTTCATTTGCATTATCGATAATTGAAACATAAAATGAAAATTGCATGAAATCGAAACTGCAATGGCTAGAATCATTTAGTGATGACTGATTGCTTTTTGGCTTTCTAAATTGTATATTTTCATCACTGCTTCAACTAGTAACCACTTTTACTTTATACTTTTCATCAGGTGAAGCAGTGATCTGTAGGAATATATGACTTCTCTGGATAAGATATATCTTTTCTGGTTATTTCTATAGAAAATGAATAATCTAGTTTTTTGTGCTATCTTTTCAGTTACTTAGAATTATTAATTTCTTTATTTTCTTTTACTATATTAGTATTGCATATTCTGGTCTG